AGTAGTAAATTGGGTAATATGGCTGGCTCTCAAAACCCTGTCTGGGTTAGTCCTCCATTTTTTACGCGGCAGGAAAAAAGAACTGTCCCATTATCTTCGAACTTCGAATTATTCGAGTTTTACAGTACATCCAGACTTCATTTATGTTTTAAATCAATCCTAAATAGTTTCTCTACAAACTTATCTATATATTCGATTCGTAAATTAAACACCATTACTTAATATGATAAAACGAAAAATATGAAAAATAAAAATATTTTTCTCAACTCGTGGTAGAAATCTGCCATCTTCACAGATAGGGGTATTTTGACGTTGGCAGAAATCTGCCCTTTACACAGACCAGTGGCATTATATACATATATTGCTAAAACATTTACAGAAAATATTTTGTACTAATTATACTATTTATCTACTGCCGAGAGAATCATGACGTTCGATGAAATATGTCTTGATGAATATTTTTCACTCATAAAGCAAGTCATTTTTACAATGATATGAAGAAGAAAAGCATTTACAGCAGAAAATCACAGGTTTACATATTTTCAACAATGGTATTTGAAACTAATAAATTCGTGGCTGTAAACATTATTCTTTTCCCGTTGTATGTAATGTTAAAAAGGAAAGACCTTAAAACATGAAATTATTAAAGCAGGAAGGGGACTTTTTGGCGGGATCGGGAAGCGTCACTTCAGCAGTTTTGTTTTTCTTGTTAAAAATTATGTTGTGGCGGATGTTTGTGTCTAATAATGGTGGATTATTAACCACTAAGTGTTCGGAAATATGCACAAGTGTTGGCAAGTGAAACAAAATAGCGGAAAGTGTCTTTCGACGTTCCCTTAAGAAGTCCACGGGGAGGTTCCAGTAAATCCCCACACATTTACTGAAACATAGGGAAAGGGGGATTGACTTGACTGCCACTTACTTTGACTTGACTAATATTTTGACCACGAGTGCTATAGAATATGTAAACATTTTACACTTGACATTGGCTAAATGCACAAACCGTGCGAAGCCATATAGAAAAAAAAGCAGGAAGGACTTTTTGGGGGGATCGGGAAGTGTCACTTTAGCAGTTTTGTTTTTCTTGTTAAAATTGTGTTGTGGCGGATGTTAGTGTCTAATAATGGTGGATTATTAACCACTAAGTGTTCGGGAACATGCACAAGTGTTGGCAAGTGAAACAAAATAGCGGAAAGTGTCTTTCCACGTTCTCTCAGAAAGTCCACGGGGAGGTTCCAGTAAATCCCCACATTTTTACTGAAACATAGGGAAAAGGGGGTACTTTGACTTGATTTATTACTTTGACCACGAGTGCTATAGAATTTGTAAATATTTTAACACTTGACATTGGCTAAATGCAAAAGCCGTGCGAAGCCATTTAGAAAAAATAATTAAGCAGGAAGTCAGTGTAGCATTAATTAATATTATTTTTTAATACTGTGCTTTTATGTAAAAATTAACAATGCAAAGCCTTACTTCAAAAGCACTATTTTTAAAGCACATTTCATTATTATAAGGGCGCGCAATACAGGCGAAATGTGTCATACTCTTTTGACGCATTGTTGATAACTTAATACATCAAGTTATTAATGGATGCACCAGCCCATTGTCTGCTATTGCTATGTCCAAAACTGCGCCCGTTAGACATATTTTTACTGTTTGCTGAGAAAGTGTACATCTGGTTAATTTTATGATTAGCTTTCGTTCTCAGTCTCATGTATAGGAGCACGGACATATAGGTAAACACTAGAATGAAATTAGAATTCCTTTCCAAAGTAACTTTCAAAATAATGATAATATCGACAGTGGAAAAGCAAAATGGCTTAAACGCCACTTAAGTTACTTTACAGAAACGAGGAAAGTTTTTTTTACAAAAAAAAAAATCATAACCCATTGTAATAGGCTAGTTGACCCTTTTTGGAAAAAGGTTTTAAATGGTTAATAAATGTTCTAATAGACCGAAAAAAAATGTATTGTATTTTTTTGAGACCTAGAAAGCTACAAATCTTCAATTTTAAAATAGACTTTTCATGGACATACAAAAACGCTGTGGGCCATTTATTCTATAGATTATCTATGCTATGACGTCGACGGTAGTAAACAAAAACTCGTTAGCACGTAGAAAATAACCTATCTGAGTTTATAATAAAAAAACATGATTTCTAATAGATACCACGAAAAACAAATTAATTATCGTTATTGTATTGTACGAGAATGTAAAAAAAAACCTTGAAGACTCCAGGAAAGTTGTGGATTAAAGTGCCGAAAGAAATTAACCTACGCAATACCTGGTTAGAACTTGCTAAAAGTGATCCTGCAACTTTATCGACTCATAGTAAAATTTATTTTTGCGAAGATCACTTTGATGTAAGTATTCATTGAATAATATTTTAAGTCTCTTCATTTATTATCAGTTTTAATAATACAAGTTTTAAAGTTATGTATGAATGACATTTAGTTGTTTACTAAAAGAGACGTCACAATCATGGCGGATGTGGTGAACAGCGTTTTTAGTGTTTAAAAAGTATAGACTAAAAATTATTTTTTTAAATTAAATTTCTACAGCAATCTTCTGCTTTTATGAAGTGAAATCGATATATTTAGGTTCCCTAGACCAAATACTCTAAGAAATAAACATTTATTTAATACAATTCGACATGAGTCAACTAGCCTATTGAGAAGTAGCGCCATAAAAATAAAAACATATTCTTAAAAAATATTTTCTAGATATCCTATTAAAAAGTTACATAGTGCCTTTACTTTACGAATTGGATGGTCATAGTAGTAGTAGGCGCTTAAGCGAAAATCATTCGGTCGCCATAAATTTTTTGTCCAGCAAACATCAAATATGGCGTAAGCGCCATTGGTTCAGACACACCAAAATTATGTCGCTTCAGCGTTGTGAACAATAAATAAAAAAAAATCAGTTGCTTAATCGCTAAAAAAGCACTCAAATCTTAACGAAACATAAACAGACTGACGCAGAAAAAATATCTGATTCAAATGATAATACATAACTCATTGTCGACCAAAGTTAAGCGGTTTTGCCTTTCTACTGTCGATATTAAAAAAAAACTTTTTTAAAAGGCGGCTATTCGTAAAAAAAAGATGTGAGCTGTTTAAAAACTAAACCAGGAGAAAGAAATGCCTTGAGTTTAGGTTATATTAAACTACGTTGAGTTAAAAAACTTTGATAAATAAAAAAATATAAAATATTCTAATAAACAGAGATTTGTTATATGTAAACAGAAAAGGAAGTGCATACATCTTTCGCATCAAAGATTTTTACATGGTTATTACTAAAATTTGCTTGTGAATTCGGAAAATAGATTTCCCTTCCGTCGCTCGGTGAGGAGAGTTGCGGACGCAATTTCCATAAGTGCAAACTTCTTGAAAATTCTACAATTTTCAAGATGCGATAAAATTAACTAGAAATTTCTGCTGGCTTTATTGAAATTTAAAAGGAAATTGTCCCCAGTTCCGCGTCTAGTTGATGAATTGTGCAAAGTATTTCTGTATCATGATGTTTCCGTCGGAAATGTAGTTTGTCGTGAAAAACTTGTTGTAAAGGTGCGTAAGTAATTTTTTTTTTCATCATATCGTGTTTAAATATTGGCTCGCATTGATGAATCTAACTCACAGAAGTTATTTATATTTTGACAGAGTTTATGATTATTGAAAATATGAATTGTGATACGCTATTTACATATTTTTATTTTATTACGTTAAATTAATTATTAATACAATCCAAATGTTTTATTCTGATGTATAATGTCAGCGGCGGACCAGGCAGCGGACTGTTCTAGTAAACTTTTCTTTAGATTTATACATCTAGCAGTTAAATGCTTAAAAAAATCATAAGAAAAAATATTTTTAATGGAATACGAAACTTAAAGAATGAATTTGACATCATAGCGGCGGCACAGATAAGATTAATGATGGCCTATTAGAGCGGTGCGTTAGTTAAGCAGATACACCCACTGTTTTACAAAACAAAAGAGAACATTTTAAAAGCTGTACGTTAAATTTTAATATAGTTTGATAAAAATTACAATCGTCAATTTAGTAGGAAAGAAAAAAAAAGGAATTTATGTCTTTAAATGATATTATGATGGCTTCTTCGAACTGATTAACTTAGTTCTGTTCTCAACTTCTCATTACTCTCAGACAAGTCTCATAAATTACAGAAAGGGCAAAGTTTGAACAGGACTCAAATAAAACAGTATTATTAACTTTTAATTAGGTGACTTCTTTTACTTAATAAGTCACCTAATTAAATGTTATTTATTGGAGATCTAATTAGAAACATTTATTTTACTTAAGTCTAAACTTCTCACTTTCAATTAAGAGCTTTTATTTACGAGAAAACTTGAGTATTGAACCACACACGTCCACATATAGTACATATTTTTTTAAACCCCGCGCAAGTTACGCGCTATGAAACAATGCACGAAGCACTGTGTGTGATTCGACACTTAGATAAACTGTATCAAACATTCGATTATTATGTACGGAATTAACATACTTGCGACTTAGCTTATTTATTTGGAAATCCCAAAAGAACTAAATTTGGTCCAAATCCAATCCGCTGTTTTTGCGTAATTAAGCTAAAAAAATATCAAAACGACACAACTTTCAAATTTATAATATTAATTAGGATTTTTCGACTGTACGCTTCGGCCGCGTCTTGTTATAAGTATGAGGAGCTGGCAAACAAAACGGTATAATTACATAAAATTAAATTTTACAGGAGCTGTATGAAACTGAATGGCACACCTCCAGTGAGATTTTGGCATGGTTTTTAATTTATAAATTTAGTAATTTTAACTCTGTTTTAGGTGATTTATATTGAATATTATTTGAGATTCGAATTTAACGGGCCCGAAACCTGCGGGCTGTAAAAAAATGTAGTTTGACCAGATGTGTTATTATACCGTTTTGTTCGCCAGCTCCTCAAGTGTTATAACCCACCGGACAGAAATAAGATGATACAAACTTACTTCAGTTCTGGTTTCTTCGACGCAGTTTTATCTTCGCTCTTGTTCTGGTCTTTCTGCGTTGGCGATCCAGGTGGAGTGTGCTCCTTCATGTCACCGTCAACATGAGATGGCGCGTACCCAGAATCATTGTTCGTGTTGGGATCCATCATTGGTATCGGCGATGCCAGATTAGCCATTATTCTGGAAAAGAAGGGAGAATTATATTAGCAGCGGGCGGATCCCATGTTCTTCTTTCGTATATAAGCCAGTACGACCAAACGCCATTATTGGCACACACGTTATTAATGGCAACTTCCAGCCGTTGACTCTGACTGCTCGAGCTATCCGTATATTTCCGCTCTTAGCCTCATCGACGATAGTAATACAATCTGGGTTTTTTGTCAATCTGTCAAAATATTGTCACGAACGCTCTGGAACCAAAACCACGAACGTACTGGAAACAGATTTACCCAGAACGCCTCGTCCGTCGCTCGATCTACTCGCGTCGCGACCCGAATTATTTCGATGAAGGTTGAGTGGTGCGGTGCATTCGAATATGAGCCTTACCATGCCGGCGTAAGGGTAAAAGTGCAACTGTCAACTTGTTTACAACTGATCCCGGCTACCTATGTATGAGTATTTACTGGGGCTAGTGAACTTTCATTGAACTGAACTTTTCCTGAAGCGCTAGATTCCGCGTACGATACAGCATAGAGAAAGTAACCACTACGTTTTAGTGTACAGTTGAGTTTCAACAACAACTTTAAAGTGTTTGTTTATGATGATTGTTTAAAGTAAAGTATACAATGAGTGTATTGTGATTACTGTGTATGGTATCAACTGTGGGGTAAATAAAGAATTGTCAAGCGTAACTGTCAACATATAAAAAAAAAACATCCACCTAACAGAAATGTAATACGGCGGAATCTCCAATCAGATTGTGATATTAACAACAATTTTAAAGTGTTTGTGTATGATGATTGTATAAAGTATAGTATACAATGAGTGTATTGTGATAACTGTGTATGGTATCAACTGTGGGGTAAATAAAGAATTGTCAAGCGTAACTGTCAACATATAAAAAAACATCCACCTAACAGAAATATAATACGGCGAAATCTCGAATCAGATTGTGATATTACAATAGGTATGCTCTACGACACCGTGAGGGATATAAGATAACAAGTACAACAGGTGTTTCTTAAAAATAACTTATAAAAAATAATACTTACAGACCAGTCTCTTCAACCACAGCAGCCAGCATAAAGCGTGCGGATCTCGTATTGACTAGTTCCTCCGCGTACGCACCCATCTCAGTCCTAAAGCTGAAACAAACCAACAACGAAGTTATGACGCTTTGGAAGACCTACTAAATAGCTATAAAAATACGAATCTTGAAGCCTTAGTGCATTTCAATAGTGTCTTATAAGTAACTGACGAACGGATGCAGACACGGTTTAATACCGTGCCTAGAACCGAGTAGAAAACGTCTCTATAGGAAGCGTCTGAGTATGGATAGCGCGTTTCAGGCCATGCGTAGTCGGCTTAATTTCAAGGCTTAACAACTTTTTCGTGGCTTTTCTATTTTAATTTTGTCACTCAAGAAATGTATCTAGTCAAAACTTTGTTGCGAAGGTGTGGGAGGGGCAAAGTACATTATAGAAAAACCACGATCTATTTTATACACCTGCGCGACAAAACATTGACTAGGTACAAATTGCCTTAAAAATTAGAATACAAAAGCCACGAAAAAGTTTGTAAAGCGCGACTAATTGTCAGGCACATTGGTATTTCTTAATAATAATGTTCTTTTCCTGCTCATAATCATTCAAAATACAAAGGGTCCTGCTCGAAAGACAAAACTTTCTTGTTGAATTTCTTCTGTTCTATTTAATAGCCGTTAGTCTTAGAGTTAATACGTGAATCGAGAGGTACATTGGGACAAGCTACGATCAGTGTTACTTTTAAGTACTCCACGCGTAATACAGCCGAGACACCCGCTGGATGAATGAGGCGATTTATCGTAATTTCTATCAAAACGGTTGAGGTACATAGAAACTTGTTAATAAATACAAGTAGAACATTGAACAAGCAAAGCATAACGACAATTTATCTTAAGTCTAGCTCGAGTGGCCCCGCTAAATAGAAACACATAATATTCGCTCCTATATCCCAATGGGGGATGGGGGATATTTTATTGAAATGAAACTTCTTTTTGGACGGGGTGCAAATAGAAAAATACTTTGGAAAATATGAAACGAAAATGCGTTACAAGCGCCACACGCGCCCATATATATACATAAATATGAGTGATGCGTGCGCTGCTCCATTCCCCTATGCCTTATGCACCGCCTAATGTTAGGTTATTTAAGAAAAGAAGTTTCACATCGGATGTGATTTCCGTGGTGTTGTGTGCAGTGTTTGTTTTTGAACTGGGCGTGACACTGACACTCATATTACTGACACACGTAGGACAGCTGTTTTGTCTATGACAGCGAACCGCTTACGTCAACGTAGCTGTCAAACTTCATTGATTGGGTTGGTAGCATTGAAGGAATAGTTGCTTTTTTTTCATTCGACTTAGAAATCTACTTGAAACATAAAAAAAAAGAAGTGGATCTCTGTTGGTGCGTGTTGATACCCATCAGGATTGAGTTTGCCAGTTGTTAAATTTTGAATTATTTTTTCCCATATCGATTTGAGTTCTCAATCGGGCGTTTTTTTACTCGATTTTGAATTTTACTCGAAATTGAATTTCCTCGCTAATTTTAGTAGGTATTCTCTTTTCCTTCGCTTAGGGAGAGCATAGTTATATGGGTTTGGGTTGATACGTCATCTCGTTTCGGATGCAGCGGCTGTCTGTTTGACTGTGGCCTTTGCCTTCAGTTGGAGTGAGAAAAAATCATAGACACATATTTGGGGAGTTGATGATCTTTCTCTATGCTCAGTTGTCAAAACAACATTTAAAATTTTTACAATCACGATTGATTCCTCACCGTTTTGTTTTCTGACCAAAGTATATTAAAAAAAGGACTATCTGGACTCCTAGGTCAGTGAATTAGATCCGAAAAGTTTATATCCTAGTGGATGTTGGCAGACATAGCGCGAGAACGCTAACCGAACTGTGATTCGGAGTGAAAACATCCCTGAAGGTAGATGGTCCTGGAATCTTGCAAGGCAGGGCAGAATTAGGTGATAGGGGGAACTGAGTAACGGAAAGTTCACATCTCCAACGGATGATACGTTCTCCTCAAGAAGTACTGGAGGAAGAACAAGCTAATAACAAGGAGATTCTCTCTCTATACACGGACCAGAGGGGACGAGATTATTACAATAAAGGTTGCAAGCCACTCTCCAGTCTTATGTAACCCGGCCGTAACTGCGAACAGATCACACCCTTTTAGTAGTGTGTGATCTGTCCGCAGTTACAACCGGACTATCTTTAACCAGGTATTTCTCTAACTAACCCTGGGTGAACGGAGCAGAGGCACCGCGAGGAGAGGTTGGACTCCGAACTACCCATTTCCATATATATATAACTGGTTGTCTCATTGAGAACTAGAATTAACCTAATATACAGCATCACTAATATCGTTCAAACGAGCCGTAGAACTCCTAAAATCCACTGAATAGTTTTTTATCTAGAAAAGTTTAGTTCTGTGGTCTCTCAATTGACAGTCCATTGCAGAGTAGGTAAAATATATTAGATATAGTTTAAGAACTCATGTAAGTACATTGTAGTTTGTTATGAATGTCTGATATTTATACAACTCTATCATTTATGTTAAAGTGAAGAGAGGGAAGTGATTTATATAAACTATAACTTTAAAACTACTGTATTCATCTTCTCTATGATATTTATAGTTAGTAAAATATAATTATAACATTTATGTCAACTTAATGCTTTGCTCACTGAAAGGGAAGTGATTTATATAAACTATAACTTTAAAACTACTGTATTCATCTTCTTTAAGATATCTATAGTTAGTAATATATAATTACAACATTATCTTAATTCTTTTGTTTTCTTTCGTTGTTTCCCCTTGCGCTCTGAGGTAGACTGGAGCGGCAGAAGAGTAAAATATAACATCACAGTGCATACTATTTTTTGGAGTTTATTCCTTAAGAATCGATTTGCATATAAGGGGCCCGGTATGAGAAAAATGTGAGGAGTAAAATCTAACGATGAATGACATTAATGACCTCGTTACGTTTTTGTGCGCAACCTCAACCTCAAGTGAAAGGTGCGCCTTTCACTTTTAGCCATGGCAACGGATAAAAAACATTAAGTTGTCACAAATGTCAATACAATAAATAAACTAAAAATAGATAAAATCGGAGCAAAATTAATGAAAACAAATAAATAACAGAATATAGAGAAATGCCGGTGAGTGTCCAGCACTCTGGAATAGTGATTTTCAGTACAGATGGAATTATAATACATATTAACAAAATGATGACTAATGTGTGATATTTTTGAAATTGTGTGTTTCCAGAAATACATAATAAAATATATGATGAATATCGCTGATTTTAGATGATAAAATGTGTGACATGGAACCTATGATAGTCGAAACCATGGGACGATTCCTGAGGTATCTCTACTTGTAACCGACTTCTTCGGAATTGATTTTGTTTTGTGTCTGTTCAATGACAATCGTTTTTAGAGTGTAAACTCCGATCGTGCGTCGGAGCTGACACACACAATTTTTTATTTTATCTATACTTATAATAAATCTGTAGAGATGTCAATTCTGTACATGAAATATATTTTTAAAATAACTATCAGGGGGTGATTAGTGATCGATACTGATGCCAAAAATGCAATCAGTAAATTTTTTGTCTGTCTGTCGGTCTGTCTGTCTGTGTGTATGTTCCTTATAGAAACAAAAACTACTCGACGGATTTTAACGAAACTTGGTACAATTATTCCTCATACTCCTGGGCAGGTTATAGTATACTTTTCATCATGCTACAATCAATAGGAGCAGAGTAGTGAAGGGAAATGTTGGGAAAACGGGAGAAGTTACTCCATTTTTTAAGCTTCCGTCGCGTGTGCAGCCTTAATGGTTAAAGTTACATAGAAATCATGTATGACGGAAATATTCTACATAAAATTTTCTAGAAAATATCCCGCAACAGCATATGTCTATCTTTTATGGTTGACTCACAATAACACGTGTAACTCCCGATTGCTTAGCAGTTCGGAGCATTCTGATCATATTTGTTTACTCTTACTTTTATAATACTCTGACTCATCCCTAATTTAAAAAAGTTAAAATTATTACATATTCAATAAAAAAAACTTAGAAATCGGTATAGAGACACCAAACTTATACATGAAATAAGCCATCGCGCCGTCGCACGTGAATACTGAATCATGCTATAAGGATTATTTTTGTGTAACGGTTGCCGCGCTCGACACGGTAGGGTGACCATCAAAGGTCTAGTACCCATTGGACCCTCAAGATTCGACCCAAAAGCAAAAAGTGCCCATTGGACCTCTTTTTTGGTGTCCATTGGACCTTCTTAAAACATTTTATAGTCAATGTGCCCATTCGACCTCTTTTTTGGTGCCCATTGGACCTCCTTAAAAATTTTATATTCAATGTGCCCATTGGACCTCTTTTTAAGTGCCCATTGGACCTTCAAGATTATACCTTACTGCCAGTTGGACCTTATTAACAGTTTTGTTAAGCACAGTACAGTCATGTAGAAAATTGCAGACAAAAATAAAATTAATAGTAGGTATTATAAAGCCACTAACTAAATACTGTATAAGTATTGACTCCAACCAGTAAGTAGTCCTAAACAAATTGTAAAGAAATCAGTTTACCTTTTTTCTTCGAATTAATGATATTTCGCCATCCCCGGAGAATAAAAAGATAACTACAAAAACGTAAGTTTTCAGAAAAAATAAAAAAAACTGTTTTTCGTCTATTGATCTATAAATACGGGACGCAGACAGATGATAGTAACCTTTAAGAAAAGCTAATTTTTAAAACATTTGGATTTTTAGTAAGGTACTCGTACAATAAGATATAAGGGAGATATTTAGAAAATAAAAAGTGAATCAAAAGTAATCAAAATTTAATTTGTATAATGTTTATTTTTATTTTATTCGTATTGACAAGGAGCCAAAACAAAATATTGCACTACTGACATGTATTTTTATTCTATGGGTTATAAGGGTGCAAGTGACAATGATAATACTTCAATATCTTTTTATTTTCGTAAATATTGTAAAACCTTTTTTTCTTTAAAGATCATTTTATATGTTTGTGCTTTAGGTTTACAGGAATGATCATTAATTACATTA